CTTATAACCCAGTTGTTCCCTCATTCTTTACTGCCAATCAGCCCAGTCTGGATCTGTGCTTGTCCTGTGGAAACATGGCCAGCTGCAGCTCAATGCAGAAATGAGAGACTGTTTTCAGAAGACACAGGCTGTTGAATTTAAGGCTGTTGAAGCCAACACAGCCACAAAACCAAAAATTAAAACAGACATTTGCCTCAAACCAGATCTTTAATTTCCATTATTTAATAGCCGACAAATTGGCCATGGTACAGTTTACTGTTTACAGTACAGTACTAGCACAGTTTTCAGTTTACGCCTGTTTACCTAAAGCATGCATAAATATTAGTAATACAGCTGTGTTATATTTGCAAAAATTACATATTCAAACCAAGTGCTAATGCCAACAGAAGAGTAATTTAAACAACAATTGTAAGATTTATTTTAAATGCTCTCAAATTTATTAGTACTAACCTGATCAAATGCTGGAAAAATGTAATCTGCAAATTGAATTTCTGCAATGGCTGTAGCACCTGTAACAGCAATTCCAATACCAAAGCCAACAATTCCTTGTTCACATAAAGGGGTGTTGAAAACTCTGTCTTTACCTGTATAAAAAAAACCAACAACACAAAATTCCTTTAATACACCAGCTCTAAGTGGAAAATACTGTCCCAAAAATATTTTACTCCTAAAAAAGTCACATGCAATTAAGCATATGGCTGTTTCGATGAGCTTTTTTAGGTGTAGAAACAATAACCATCTATTACAAGAAAAGAAACTTTAACTTGTAACAACTCAGAGTAAGAAAAGGAGAAACTAAATGAAAGCTAAGAACAATTTCTGTAACTTACACCATTCTTAATACTTGAAGAAAATTTGTTCTGACTTATTCACACTTAAACATGCATACTCCTCACGCTTATATGGGAGTAAACAACACTCACAAGCATTTTTTAAAGTTTACAATAAAGTTAAGTGTTGTTTTTTCCATTTTTTCCAGGCACTGACAAGTAACTGTGTCTACTCAAAGGCAGACAGATGTCCAGGAGCACCTGCACAAAACCACACTGCCTCTTGTCCACACCCCCATCATCAGTGCCCATTCTTACCACTCCTCTCTCCCAAGGTAGGGCCACATTTGTATAATTTGCCTTGTCTCAAGAAACTACAGTTCCTGCTAAAAACCCAAAACATTTGACTTCATTTCTTCCCTGTGGGAGCACAAAAGGTTATTTTAGTCCTGGCATATTTCTGTGCCACAGTAATTTCAGATCTCAAATACGCATCAATCTAATAGATGGTTGCAGACAAAATTGTTCAGTTCATGAAATTAAAAACAAGAAGGCGTGGGAGGGAGATGAAACACCACTACAGTATCCTCTATAAGACATATTTACAATACTTGCCAGCAGTACTTTTCTGCCAAGGGAGTACAGCAGAAAAATCTCAGTCTGCTATTAAATCTTCCCTCTACAACACTGGGTAGACAGTAGGTTTCTATAGGAATCCATCATGCATGAAAATGCCAAGACTTCAAACTGGATGGAAAAAATGTGCACAGTGCACACCAGTGGCTATGAAATAAATTAAACAGGAACAAAATAACCATGAAACAACTAACCAAAAAACCAGACTAAACTAGTAAGTGGGAAAGCTGTTACTAAGAGGACTTCTAATTTCAATATCTATAAGTTCAACTACAAAAAGGAAAGCTAACAGAAGTTTTCAGAAAGGGATGATTAGGGAAAAACCAAAGTCTTTAAAGGACACATCTTTCATTTGCACATGTCACCCAGCACACCACTGTCACCGTTGTATCCTGTCCACATACATGTATGCATGTATATAGATACCAGTAAATATGTTTTTGTCTCTCCCTCTGCTTTTCTTTTTTCCCCCCTCCACCAGGAACATTCATTTGAAGCAAATAAAAAAAGAAATGCCATGAAATGATACTACAATGTTGGTGGTGTCAGTAAGGTTTCATAAGCCAACACCAAATCCAAAAAGCTGTCACAATTGCTGCACACACCATGATTTCTCATACAAGACAGTGGAAACAAAGAGAATCCAAGACTATTTTTTCCCCTAGAGGGACTCCTTACTGTGTAAATTTTTCTCATTTCTGAAGGAACTATAATTTCAGTTCCTATATTGCATTCCCTGGTGCACTCTCTCCACTGACAGACATCACGGCCAAAAAAAGAAGAAAATAAACTTCCTGTGCAAGTGTGTAGCTGTCCCAGACCTTAACCCCACAACTGTGAAGCAGAAGCTCTGTACCTGCATCTATCTGTAACACCATCAACACTTGGCAAACACTTCCTTTCCTCCCTTTTATTTATCTAGCATACCATGAATTAGCCATCTTGATTCCCTTCTCTTTCACTGACACAATTTTATCTTAAAACAAATCTTATTTTAAGAAACTAAAAATGTATGTAAACATTGTGAAGAAATATGGCAATGTTGGTAATTGTGTTTCCTGCTTCTAATAAGTCCATTGGCAGATTACTATTTTTCACTTCACTTGCTTACAGGATATTTTGATCTAAGACTTATAGCTCACCTAACCTTATTATTTAACAGATTTTTCCAAACACACTGAAATAGCCCAATACAGAGGTTCCATACATAAATAACCCTCACACAAAAACTGAAATGTATCTGAACAATCTTGTAAAATGAGCTTTTAACTAATAATTGATACAAACTTGAAAATTAATTCTTTAGTATCAATGTAGGGTGGTAAATTAACTTAAAAGCACGTTAGCTCAATCACACTACTATGTAACTCAATAATTCAAAATATAAAATACTTATAAATAACCCTAATAAAACTGCTGAAATACTACTGAGATAATAAATGAGAGGCATCATGCTGCTATCAATGGACTATGATGAAATAAATGAAGTGAAAATCAATAAGGCAAAAGTGAAATGTAACGAGACAGCTGTAATGTGAGCAGTGTGAAGCACTTAATTTGGAATTTCAGGACTAAAGGAACAATTCTGAGGCACCAAGACTTAAAACAGAAAAGAGTGAGCTAGGGAACTCAATGAATTTTATAACTCAGGAATGGTTTTGATTGTAGTATTAAAACAATAATACTTACCTCCTAAGAGGAAATCCTAAAGCACTTGACTAAATATTAGATCAGAAAACAACTTCAGGTAGAGTTTCCAGGGGCAGGGCTTTCTTTATAAAATCTAGCCCCTTATGACAAAAAGACATACACATTGTCAGGATAAAACAAATTTATTCATTTCCCCAAACATTAAAAATTGCATGGTGCTGCTTTAACTTTCTATTTTTATTGATACAGTATGAAAATCATTACTAAAACTAAACACAAAATATTTAGCATTTAAATTAAGCCTATGTATTTTCTCTATTTTATTTCACATTTTCTTATTTTTCACGTTTTTTTCCAAATGTGAAAAGGAAGTCCATTTTGACAAACAGCCATTCACATCACCCTCCGCAAACCAGCTGAGTCAAATTTCAGCTGAAATCTGACTGAAGCAGACAACCCAGAGATACTTGACGTTTCCATATTTCATTTCCTTACCAACAAAGAATCACTTCCCAAAATGTGCTCTCCTATGGTTTGCGTCAGCCACGCAGCCCAAAACAAACTGACACCAACTCAACGAGTGGACCTGTCAGTCCAGGTGATAGCAGCATTTTACATTTTCTGAAGGCAGCTGCGTCAGCCTCTGCAGGAAAACGTTACACTGGTGTGCATTTCAATTAACCTGCCTGCCTTTATACACATTCTTGATTTCAGCCATCTAAACAGGTCAGTGCCCTCTGCCAGCTACTGAGGGAAGCAATACAGCAAATAGGGAAGGTTATGTAAAAAAAAAAAAAAAAAAAAAGATTATTCTCCTCATCTCTCCATCCCAATAACTCAGAAGTAAGACTAGATGCATGTTAAGGAAGTGAAAAAAACACTCTAGAAGTCTTCCCTAATAAGGAAAATCTGAAATTATGAAGAATAAACATTAAGGAAAAAACAATACTCTGTTCAATTTTACTTAAATAAAAAAAGGAGCTATCTTTGTGATTTTCCAGAACAAAGAGTACCCCACAAATGTTCAAATTACCACTGACCCTTTGTGTAAGAAAGAACAGCTTTAAGGCTGTCTCACAGTCATCATCTCGTTCGCCAGGAATAAAGAGTTTCATAGCAACCTAACAGAACATGTTTACAGACATTTGTAGTCGATTATTGTGCATTAATGTTTTGGCTGCTTCATCTTTATTTGTTCCAAGCCATCAGGAAAAAAGTATTTCAGGTTTTAGTAACTGCAACAAGTCATGTTCCTGTCTTAATTTAACTTAAAAATGAGATATTCAAACAATATTAAATCTCCTATAATGTTAACAACACCACCCAATGCTCCAACTCTGAGTAATTTCATATCTCTCTGCACAAGTCCACCCTGGACCATTTGGATGGTTTAAGGAGTTCTGCGGGTGATTTAGCCAAAGGAGAACTGTGCTTTTTTTTCAAAATACTTCTGCATCTCTGGTGTTAAAAAAAAATGCATAACACACCTTAAAAGATGTCAGTACTGAGTAGTATTAACAATATATGAGGACAGCATTTTATTTGTCCCAATCTCACTGACTTCCATTTAGAATATCCATTACAAGTCAAATAGAAAAGTCTAGGAAAATAAAAATATTAGAAGTTCAACTGAAGCAGTCAGGCTGCACATGCAGAAAAGACTGGAAAGAAGAGGAAACCCCAGCAGATGAGGGTTTTTTGCTACTCACCAGGGACCTCGTGTAGAAAATTCAAACAGAAATTACTGATTTCCAATCAGTCCTGCCTTTAAAGGCCTTTTTTAACCTTGAAATATCTGGGATTTTTCATAGATACAATTGTACATCAGCCAACTAATTTTATTCCTTAACATAATTAACACAATCTATTCAACATTTAAGCTTTCTTGGTCCCACCATCCCTTTTAAGCCCCATTTTACAACTGGTGACACTTGTAGTCTTCCATTTCTCTCATACTAAATAAGAGGGCAGGCCAAACAGCAAGTAAATTTGGTAAATTTATACTCAGCTCTTTTAGAGCTCCTAGGTTAACAAAAAGTAGTTCCACTAACTTAATAGTTCTAATCATTTTGCTCTACCATTTTTTCTACTAGTCACTAGTCTACTAGTTCTCCAGCTTTAAAAAAATAGTCCCTGTTGCTCTAAAGGGAATACCAGTAAATATACATTAACTTTACAGCTGAATATAGAAATTTCAAACCTCCTCGTCCAAAGCAGGGCTTCAGGTTCACTGACACAGAGATGGTTTAACTCTCAGTCTTGAAACCTTGCACACTAACGTGCTGTGATGCTTAAAAAGCTGCTTTTTCCAGAGCTATCCATGTTAAAATATATTATTTCACCCAACTGATGAAAAGTGATTATACAAAATGAAAAGGATTTCATACACAAGTAGCTTTTAACTTCTGAAGATGACTTCTACCCACCGTGCATAGAGAATAACAACTTACAGAATTTAGCTATACTTCTCTCCTGTTTTCCCAACCCTGTGTCCTGCAAAATCCAAGATTTATGTGTTCCCAAACATTCCTAAAAGGCTTCAAGGACCCAGCCATGCCTCTGGCATAACTCAGCCAACCCCAGGACTGAGTGACCAGGCCTGAGCCCTCAGTCAAGTCAGTGTAAAGTCTCAAGTCAAGTGCAGTGAGTCGGGTCTGTTAATAGCAGAAATGCATGTATCCACACCACTGTGTATACACTGCCTATGCCCTCAATTTCAACATTTAGTTACCTTGAATTAAAAAGTCATTCAAATTTTGATTATTTAACAACCAAGTACATAGCATTCCCATTACATTTTCCATAAATAGCCCAAAAAGTCACATCATGGCAGTAAGATACAGAAGTTAGTAACAAAAAGCTACTGCCGAAATCTGTGAGCAACTGACAACAGGGTCAGAAAACTAAATTAGCTTCTTCCTATTCTGCTGCTGCAAAATCCACTATCATGCTCTATTCTGCAACAAAGGAGCAGACTTCTAGTTACAGTTTTAGACAGAAGTTTTTAGACAGAAGTTTTAAAGGTAAAATGACAGATAAGTCTTGCCTACTTGGTTTCACTTGTTCACGGGATTCTTCATTATGCTTCATTTGGGAGAGAAAAAGAAAATCCCACAAAAAAATGCATTCTGCTGAACCACTTGTCACCACTGTGTTGCCCAAAGTAAAGGACACCTGTTCTGCCTGGCAACTCATAAGATCAGGAATTCTTCACAAGTTTATCATGCATGTCACTGACATAACCAACACTTTAAAAAAGCACTTCAAGTAATTTGGAAATCAGGAACAGCTGAAGGGTATATTTTCCTTTTAAGTTTCCCCCAGTTACTAAAATCACACTTTTGAAGAAACATGAATGTTTGAACTAGTAGTTCTAGCTCAAAGTGTTCTCAACAAGTCATTCTTTGACCCAAGACAACGCATTTTTCTTCTAAGAGCTTATTAGATCATAACTACACTTTCACCTCCTCTCCCCCAAGATTCCCTCAGGAGAAAAGCATGTTTATTGCATTTTCATTTAACCCTCACTCTCAAGTACTACAAATAATACCAGAGTCAGGAGAACTGCTGAAGTACAAAGAAAAAGTTACCATGGATAGGGAGTAATCTCCTCCATTACCCAGAAACTCTTAAAATCTGCACTGTTACCAAATTTCAGGTTTGGAAGGAAAACTTTCTACTAAAACTTAGTAAATTCTAAAAGTTCACAGCATGAATTTAACATTAAGAATGTCCTTGTCAGGCTTACAGACTTGTGGAAGACCCAGAAAAAACTCTATAAACACCTCTGCCTTCCTAAAGCAAAGAGTGAAGATTTCATTTTTAGCTCTTCCCCAGTTCAGATTTCCTGTCATTTGTGACAAACTAGCAGCCACTGAAAACTAAAGAATAAACCAAAAATAATAAAATATATTATGTAATTCTCTCCTTTCTCAGGGAAGAAGTGGGAGGAGTTGGGGGAGGTTAATGCAAAGCTTTGGCTTTAGCTTTGAATGCTGAATAACCTTGCAAGTCATTTAATCTTCCCACAATGGAGGAACAGCCAAGTAGTATGAATAGGGGGAAGAGTCGATTCTTTTCAGGTACCCAGTGTCAAGCGAAAGAATGATGCAAAAAAGTAAACTAATTATATTAAAGAAAAAATCCTCACTATGACAGTAGCCACATGCTGGAATAAGCTGTCCCAAGAGGCTATAGAAGCTCCTGCCTTGGACATGTTCAAACTCACCTGGACAATACCACAGGGCACCTAAACTGTGTTGAGTTCTGGTTTGAAACAGATGACTTTTTTAAGGTCTTCTCCTTACAACGCTCTATGATTTATTAACAGCCCCAAGCAGGGCTACATGCTGACTGCCAAAACTTTTTATGCCTGTCCTTTTCACCTCTTGATGGAAGCATTTAGTGACATCAATAAAATAATACTGATTCAGATCCACACTCTTCGGAAAATATTTAAAAAGCAGCTCATATCTCAGTGACAGATTTCCTCACCAGAATTTCTTTTTACTTTTCGAAGGGACTCTTGAAGGAAGAGGAGGTGAAAGAGTAGTTTTGATCTAATGAGCTCTTGGAATAAAAACACATCATCTTGAGTAAGAGAATGACTTGTTGAGAACACTTTGACCTGGAACTGCTAGTTCAAACACTCATGCAGGCTACCCGCTCCACACTGAAATCCTCATCATCATCTGGCTCATACACCCAGTTGCAGACTAAATAAAAAAAAAGAGCAATGCCTAATTGGACAAAGTATTCAAATATTCCTCCAGCTATGATTAATAACATTCCTTTGTCAACTACAAAAAACTTTTGCTATGTGAGAAGCACATTTGCAGAAAAGCATAACTGACATACAGTTTGACATGAGAAACTATGCCAGATGACAGTTCTTACTTGCAAAAATAGGCCCCAAAATTGACATCTACCAAATACTTATATGTGGGTATAAGCAGAGGACAACACACCATCCTAAATTACAAGACTTAGGTCAGTTCCATGCATTTTTACATTGTCTGCAACATGACATGACAGATATCCAACAGGAAGCAGAACAGTGGTCAAAGCTAAGTATTGCAACCTCTTAATGAAAATTCTGCTGTAATAAGCTGCTCAGACCATCTGGATGACAAATCGAGGAGCAGGCAAAAATGTCAAATACAAGCTACCCTCTCTCACATTCCTCAGTATCAGTAGTGTAGATGTATTTAAAGTAAACGTGAAAGCATGCTGGATCTACCTGGAATTGTGAAGCAAGTATTCTCAACACAAGATCAAGGATTTCATGCTGCTGTAGAAGTACTCAGGGGCAAAGAGCTCAATGACCTGCAGTAACGAAAACCATCTTACAAATCTCACCCTTTATAATGCAAAGCATGTGCATGAGAAAAATTAATAAATTAATAAATTAGTATATACTTGATGCTTCCGTCTAAGTGTGAAAACCTTGGGCCAGGTTTTCAGGGTTTAATTTTTCTGCAAATCAAAAAGAAAAGAGATCTTTTATTATAAATGACTAGCATGTTATGTCAATCTGGTCACTGGAAGATGGCTCTGAATCAAGTCAAGATAAGATTAACCTGCGCCTCAAAGTGCTTCTGCAAATCTTAGACAATTCCCAGACTTGGATATTAATCTTGATTTTTTTCACTAGAGATAATAAACAGCATTTTAAAGAGCTGCCTGGAGCCCTGCATCCCTCGTTTTTGGCTCTGACACTTCACCTTTTTAGGCTTCAAGCAAATTACTTTCAAGAAAACTGAGAGTTTTAGTCCCTGTAATAAAGTCTGCAGTACCTTCTTAAATTGAAAGTACCACCCTCTTACCACTAAACTCAAAGTAGGAAGAACAGCAGACATATTGAATTAACTCCAGTTGATGAGTGGGATAAATAAACATACAAATGAAACAGAGGGAATCACGGGGCTAACCGAAGAAATTGAGAATCACCTAATTCCATCTAAAGAATTGCAAAGGCATGAAGAGAGATGTCTAAAAGAAGGTACACAAAATGTGCTTGCAGGCCTGGTATTAAAACAGACTGCAAAGACTAGTAATGATCATCAATTCTATCTTGGGTCTTTATTACATAAAGTTTCATCCTCCTTGACATGATATTATCAAAATATTGTTTCTACATGTTTCACTGCAAGTATTTTCTTAAGTGGAAAATTCCATTTTTATGAAGTTCAGCAGCACACACTTTTTTGCCAAGCAATGTATCTTGAAATGACTTAGAAAAGTGAGAACAGCTTTCTTAAGCTCTGCCCTGAGTATCAAGTTCTATATTAAAAAAATATATTCCTTATCTTTCCCTCAAAGAGGTTTACAACACAGGAAAAGAAACACAATAAATATTAGTAAGCCCCAAATAAATAAAATACAGTTTTCACACCAGACACATTATCAGAACAATTAAAAAGAAAACAAAACTAAAATAAAAGCTATTTAGCTCTGACAGAGACTGGTTTATATCATTATTCCACATATACAAAAGGTATAAAAAGGGCATACTACATTTTACCAAGTTTTCAAATAACTTTTCTTCTTTTTCTAACTGTAAATCTTCAAAAAAGAATTGGCTATTTAAGATGAAAATGAACAAAACGTACTATTGTGTAATGAGTCTGGAACACGTTCTCCAGATGTTACTGTTCAAAGACATTTATATAAATCAGAACAAATCCAGGTCTTGCCAAACTGTTCTGGAAGAACCAGGCAAGCAAGCTGCAGAATTCTCCACTTAAATCTATCCACAAAGAGATGACAATAACCACATCCCAGTCTATTTAGGTTTTAGTCAATCTACACACAAGAAGTAATTCTGAACTCTGAATAAAATGTTCCACCCTTACCTCATGTCCATGATGTCAAAAATTCTGAACGCCTTCCTTCTACCACATGCAATGTTTTAGGAAGGACCAGGACCTATAGCAAAGAAGCACCATGTTTCTCCAGCAAGCTTGCAGTCTACTTTTGAAGCATTGAGATAACATTTTTCTATCTGCTTATACAGTAAAGCCCTAATACCTATGCTAATTTAGGCTGAGTTTTTCCTCCTCCTCATAATAGCATATGGTTATGTTCTAAAAGAATGTAAAAGATACCATGATTATTGATTAAAAATTCCACATAAAAACCTTAGTGCATCTTCCCACCCGTTGAATTAAGACCCAACTACTAATAGTTTTTCTGGAGGTAAAACACAATGTCTTTAATATATAGCATTACAGCCCATCCAAATTGTGCTTTTGCACTTCTTACCTTTCCACTGAAACATTTGGGATCACAAGAACACTCAGAACAACCCTGAATTTCCATTGACAAATATCTGCTCCCTTATCAGTAACATTAAGTGTAGTTTACACAATAAAGAATGCCCTGAAATCACTAACAAATATATTTACAATATAAACATTTAAAAATATTTTATGTATTTTGGATGCAGACTATCAGAATTTTTTTAAAAACAACCTTATACTCAATCTACTTTTATTAGCTCAGCTTCAAAAGGTTCTCTCATCATTTCATGCTACTAAAAGCTATCAGGACATTAAGCAGTTTTTGCAAGCTTAAACATCCAAACTTCAGCCAACAACCTTCACCAAATACCATAACAACATGGAGACAACTCTATCTTCTCACCCATGTTTGCCTCCATAGCCTTTTCACTTAAAACACAGAACTTGCTTTCAGGAGTTTTCTACAGCTAAAGCTCACTGAATAGTATCATGCTCAAATAAATAATTACCTTCAAAGAATGACTACTATATTTTTTCAGAAAAGCTAGTGTCCCTTGGGCATGGCTAGGTATAGCCATCTCCTGGACAAATAAACAAAGACTCCTGAATTAGTTTACTGGACTATAAATAAACTATTCATTTATTAAGAATGAAGTTTTCCCTGAAAACTCACACAGGTGTTTACATGTTAAATACAAGGTCTACAGGATAGCAACCAGGGATTACAGTGGATCAGGTGTTGTAAATAAACATTATTGCTGAACACAAGCTAGCATTATCATGGGATGTAACAAGAGAGAGCTGTAAGCAACCACATTTTACTTAGTAAAACACAAGAGTAAAGTATGCAGTTTTGGATGCCCTATATCCTCCAGCTGCAGCAACCAGAGTTCAGAGAAACTGATCAATAAAGAAAAGCTTCAAACCATAATAATAATCCTGCACTGGGACCATGTGTGTAGGAAAGCCAGAGAAACTTCACCACTGAAGGCTAAAAACAGCCTTTGCCAGCTAATCTGTTTCAAAACATACCCTGTGCTTCAGAGAGAAAATTTTGTAAGGCAGACAGAAAAGAAAGAAAAACAAATATGTAAGTGACAAATAAAATCACTTTTAAAGCATCCAGCTGATTGCTAATGTGGGTAACTCATTCTGATATAAGGAACATAAGGATGCTATTTTCTTTCACAGCTACAAGTATGGTTTCATATGTAGTTCAGTCACTTGCTCTTTGATATGTTTGAAATTTGCCACAGGGGAAATTTCTGATTCTTGCTCTATTCTCACAGGATTCATTACAAGTGTTACCTCTTCTCCTGATGTTCCTTTTTCTCCTGTGATTTATCAATTTGCAAGAAAATATCCTGAACTGACTCAATAGACAGAAATTACTGTTTACAATCTGCTCCCTATCTATTTCACACTTTTTAAATATGGTTTGGAAGAAAATAATGCTAGCAACTATATTTACACTTCTAGCTGCATCAAAATAATAATAATAATAAAGCACAGGGAGGATTATATATAAACCAATCCTATTATCTTGAAAATACTAGGGAAAAAAGAGAATTAAATTTCAAGTTACTTGTGCATACCCCTTCTACTCTACATGACAAAACCATAAAATAAAATAAATTTAAAAATTTAAATTAATTTAAAATAGAATAAAAAAAAATGAAGCTGCTTATTACACATTCAGTACTATCTGCATGTATTAATGTCTCTAGCCACTTATGTAACTCAGAATTACTTAAAAGGAAATGATCTGGGATTGATTTTGTTTTATCCTACATACATATAGGAATGGCACACAGTTGTTCTTACCAAGTTTCATTTTATCAAGCTTCCACCCAGAAAAAAAACAATTAGTTACTGCACAGCAGTAGATTAGAAAAAAACTTGGGGACTAAGACAGGCCACAAACTGACAGTCAACGCTGCATTACTAAAAAAGGCAGCAAACATCACTCTAGAACATTTCAGCAATGTTACACAGAAACCTTGGGAAAAGCACTTTGTTCTAATTGGCTGTATTTGAGGGTACCATAAGCTGCTGTGGGCAGTACATCTCTGCATGCACTGACAAACACAGTGGAACAGCAATAACGGAGACCAAACAGAACAGATAAAAAATAAAAAGCCATGAGTCAAAAACCCTCCAATCAGAGATGGGACATTAATCCAGAAAGGAAGAAACCTACCTTCCTCTTGTTCACTCTGCGATCACACAGAGGATCCCAAACAGTGAATGAAAAATGAATCACATGAGCAAAAGGCAAATTAATCCCAAAACATTTCAAAATAACAACTGCTGAAAAAAGTATTTCTTCTGTATCTCCACAAAGATCAGCTTCGGTATCTCAGTTAACTCTTTGTGGAGTAAGTTCAGAACTCCCGAGGGACAGCATTAGGCCAAATCTCTTATACCTTGGGTAAGCATTTGCTTCTGGTAGGAAATACCACAGTGACATCCTTCTGGAGATGAGAGAATCTTTAAAGAAAAACTCCCATTTAAGCTGTTCACATTCTACCTGCATTTGCAGATAGTTGCAAGGGAATTAAAATGGTATTATTCAGGAATTCCCTACTGAAAAGTAAAAGACTTATTTACACTACTCTTTCAATCAACAATAATTTTCAATAGCTCAAAAACATAAAAAACAATCTATTCAGGCCTGCAAATACTGGGAATCTAAATTATACAGTCACCTAGACTCCCTTGATGGCAAATAGAAGGACATTCCATGACAAGGAACTGCAGGCTGCTGCACAATAGAAAATTGAACAGAACCTCAAAAAGTTTGCAAACTTCATTTGTAGAAGTGAACATATAAAACAAACAAACAAACAAACAAACAAACAAAAAAAATCAGCCTCTACCCAAGCACTGCTATGGGGAAAGACCTGCCAAGCTCACCTTTCTTCTGTTGGACTCATACAGTTCTGAGCAAGGACTGATCCTATTTCACACTCTCAAAATATCAAGCTCTGAAATAGTCAGAATGCTCCTGATCCTTACCTCCACTAAAGGACAATTTTTTGACATGGCAGCAAGTGCACATTAGATTCTCTCTTCAAGTGCAGGCCAGAACGGTATGAAAGACAAATCACCACAGAGGCCAAATCATCACAGAGGCACTTACAGGTAAGGAAGCCTTCAAGCTGTAGGTGTTTGGAGGATGGCAGAAAGAACATTCAAGGAAAGTATTCTATATATGTGTATATATATATATATACACACACTTCACTGCCTTGTTTACATAATTTTCATTTCTTGGCCGCAGTAAAACAGTAGGATAGAGAGGTCTTTCTTTTTTTTCTTGTGAGTTACACAAAAAGCATCTGCCTTAACATTACCCTCAGTGACATCCCTTGTCAATCACTATTTCTGCTATTCTTGTTTCTCAGTCTTCACTTCTGTCCACTTTCCCCATTTTTACATTGTTTTTACCTGTTTTTTCTTCCCATTTCTTAACCCTCTATCATCTAATTCCTACCTCTGATCTATTCTATATTTCTGTCATGTTGCAACTTTATTTCACACTTCAGGCAGAGCAACAGGACATGTGTTTCCACTCCAAGATAGTTGTTTCAAATCCATTTGCAGACTCAAAGACAAATGGAAAGCATTTTCTCTGAAGGACTGGAATAATAATGTACTTCCCCTTAAAAGAAAAAAAAAATTTAAAATGTTTGCACACATTACCTAGGCCATAAAAATACAGTAGGCAGTTTACATCACACTGTTCTAAGGATAGGAAACACCTCCAGAGAGCAGGACTGTGGAACACCAGGCATTCCTTATTTAGATAAAGATACTCTATAGGTTAGAGGATGCAACTTCTGCAAAACGATGACAATCAAAAACCTGTCAGAGGGTGAATGGGAAGGAGATAAGAAATAAAACATGAATATGCCTTCCAGTGTACCACACTAGAGAGAGGGGACAAAGGGAAAAAACTGTAAAATTTATTTCCATTATCTGGAAAGAGCACTTTGCATAAATATTTCAGAAAGTCAACTCATTTTCAGAATTATACAGCAACAGATTTTTAAAAATTCAATTCAATGCCAGAAAACTGGAATAATGTATTTCAAACCTTGATGTAAGATTGTATTGGAACAAACACACTCTCTTTAGTCATACTATCATGGAAATGAAACTTCCATACACTGACTTATTTACATACGATTCCTTAATTAAATGTTTTTAAACAAAATTCCTGGTAGCATGTTAAAAATTAATCTGAGCGAAAGGCTGTATTTATTTCCTTAAAAAGTCAATGAGCTTTCCTTCACTTACTAGTACAGGCCTCTGGCTGTGTTTATACAACAAAACACTGCACTGGGGGAATAAAAAAAAGCAGTAGCTTTTCTATTTAATGACCAATTTATTCTAAAAGCAAATTTCGTTTCTGTCTCTCTAGAGAGACTTTAGTAACATTATGGACAGCAACCAACATCTCTATAATACTAGCACTGAGTATTAATATATTAAATTCTTCCTACTATAATATTAGATGATATTTAGACCTTGACCTCTATAAAAGTGCTTAAAAATGAACTATCAATTTGTATCAAAATAACAGCTTACAGACATAGACTGCCACCTAGTGATTTTAACTATCTACAAGGAAAAAGAAACTAAACATGGAACAAAAATCAGCCTCTCTTCCAGGGCAGAAGAAAAAAAGAAACATTCATTCCTTCATATTTTTTATCAACATATAGAAACAACCTCATATTATATTACTTGCATCACCTCTTATTATTTGATGGTAAATTCGGGAGAGTGATGGGGAAAGAGTAAGTTAATGTAATCTTCCTCATAAGATTCATCAGGTTGGTTGGTTGTCACTTCCACCTGGAATTCCTCCCGGTTTTACACAAGTCTAGCCTTTTTATAAAACAGGCATTCCATTTAGAATTTATTTAATCTCTGAAACTGCACTGATAGGCAGACACACCCCTCAAAACATCGTATTCTTTCATTTTTTTGAACTTTCAGTCTTCAGCTGTTCCTCCTCAGCATTGCAACTATATTTTCAGTACATCCTCCAGGTCATCTTTGCCATTCTCTCTTCAGCCACTGCCTGCTGTCTACTGTCTACTGAATTTCGCTATCAGTGAAGAAAGAAGCTGAGTTACCTGTGTCCTCTTACCTGCCTTACAAAACCGAATTTCCATTCTGTAAATGAGTCCTAAATTCGGGACCTTATCTTCAGACTCTCCCTCTGTTCAAACTTTTATTTCAGATATTGTCGTTCATTTACTTATGGGCACCTCAGCAGCATCATAAAGAATTTTTATTTCTCGTGTGTACTGGGTTTGTATAGCCAGGTTTTGATAGAAGGGGAAAGGAGCTACCAAGGTGGCTTCTGTGAGAAGCTGCCAGGAACCTCCCTTAGGTCCAACAGAGCCAATGTCAATCAGCTTCAGGACAGACCCACCTCTGGCCAAGGATAAGCCCATCAGCAAGGTCAGTAATGCCTCTGTGATAACATATTTAAGGAGGAAACAAACAAAAAAAGTTATGGCACAGACTGATGCAGCCCATGGTGAGGTGGCTGTGCCCCTGCAGCCCATGGAGGTCCATGGGGGAGCAGAGATCCAGCTGCAGCCCCTCAAGGAACCACATCAGAGCAGGATATCCAAAAAAAAAGGTTGTTAATCCCATGGGAAGCCTGCACTGGAGCAGACTCGTGGCAGGACCTGGGGCCCTGTGGAGAGAGAAGCTCATACTGGAGTAGCTTTGCTGGCAGTTTGTGAGCCCATGTGGGACCCATGCTCGAGCAGCCTGTTCCCAAAAAACTGCACCTTGTGGAAAGGGTGCACACTGGAGCAGTTCATGAAGAGCTGCAGCCCAGGTGAAGGAGTCATGCTGGAGAAGTTTATGGAGAACTGTCTCCCGTGGAAGGGACTCCATATTGCAGTAGGGAAAGCACTCCTCTCCACAAGGAAGAAGCAGTGGAAGAGACAACAAGTGATGAGCTGACTATAACTCCAATCCTCTGTCTCCCTGTGCCACTGTGATGGGAGGAGGAGGCAGAGAAGACTGAAGTTAAGCCCAGAAAGCAGGGAGGGGTAGAGGGAACACGTTTTTAAGATGTGTTTTACTTCCCATTATCCTACTCTGATTTTGATTGGTAATAAATTCAACCCATTTCTGTAAGTCAAGTCTCTTTTGCCCATGGCAGTAATCAGTTTATGATCTCTCAAACATTTCATTATATCAGCTCATGAGCCTCTAGTTACATTTTCTCTCCCATGTTCACTTGAGGGGAGTGATAGAGCAGCTTTGGAGGGTACTGACTCCAGTCAGGGTCAATCTACCACATCAAGTCATGCCTTCTCCACCTCCTTCTCTCTCAATCACTATCAACATCTTCAGTTCACTTTTCACCTAGATCTAAACATCAGAATCTGTAAAATAAACTTTTTATTAATGAAAGAAAACAGAAAAAAGCTCTTCAAAATTTTCCTTCTCTTCTAGCTGACACACCTTTCCTCTAGCAAGTATGATTTTTGCAATAGTCTGAATGATTGTGAAGAGACAGATTCCTACCTTGTTCATCTGATCTCACCAGCACTTTAAATACTTAGCCATTTTATTTTATGATCACCTGAAACAAGAGCACTTCTTAGTTTTTACTCTATCCTCTTATTCACCCTGAAGAGGTCAGTACCTTTTTTGAGCAAATGGCAATACTAGTTTCATTAGTCCTTGTTCAATGTTCATATAAATACTTCCCAAGTCTCATGTTCCCTCTCACACTTTAATGGAGTTCTTTCCAAATATTCCCAAAGTCACATCATAACTTCCTCAAAAATCTCATTCAAAATATTTGTTATCATACCCATGAAATAAACCTGAATCTAGCTGGGCTGGTGATGTGCTGTGACTGCTGGTTATCATCTTGATTAGCACAGAGTAACCAGTCCTTTGCACTCCCTCAGCAGAACCCCTGTGTTCTGTCAGGGCAGTCAGGGCTGTCACAGAATCTTTGAAACTGGCACGTTGGTATACACTACCAATAAAATGCTATTACAAAGATTAAATGATCTCTTTTCTTCATTCCAATCTTGTATGACTGCCTTACATCAAAAAAACCCATCAAATGAACCTCAAAGCACCACCCCAACAATATAAAGTTTGTCCCCTCTGTCTTTTAAACTGGAGAGGTTCACTAAAACCCAAGAAGATTGCTTATGCAACCATCTGCCCCGTTACTTATTTCCCAAACAACATCTTCTGTTGGCTGTGTTTCCAGCAACTGGTTGCTGTCTCAGAGGCCTGGTTTTCATATGGTGTCTAGGACACACAGTCAAGATATCATATCAGTTACAGAACTCTAACTCACTCTCAGCAAGAAGCACTGAAGATCATGACTAGCAGAAGTTCTATCCAAATTATTTGAACATTAACATGTAAACTAGAGAGCAAGATAACGTACACACAATAACTGAAGCAGTGAAGCAAGACAACAAAATATGGTTGCGTTTCTAAAACTTCTAAGAAGTATAGTGTTTGTCCTCTCCCTTTTTTTGGTTTACTCAAAAAAAGGTGGATTTTTGTTCTCCAAGATGGCTGTAACACATCCTTATTATCATTAAATAAATGTAATCACTTGTTGCAAAAGGTCCAAGTCATCTCAGTGTCTTGAAGAAAGTAAGCAGCTGAAACTTAGTATGTTATAACCTCTTCTTCTCTGTAATAGCCCAGTGGGGGAGAAGCAATTGCAGCGGGGGGTAACAATTGCCAAATTAAAAGCTGTATCATGTTACTGTCTCCACAACCAGCTTCCAAGACCTGAAAATGCTATACACTAATTAGCCCGCCATACATGAAACATTGATTTTACGGTTTTTTAGCATTCCAGTAACAGTACTTCTCACAGCAAAATGGGTAAAAAAAAGAGCAGAGATGTTAACATGAAACTGATGTCAGATTTATAAATTAACTTACCATACTTGTCTCGCAAGCCAACTGTGCATCTGAAGACTCCACCAAAGGCCACGTCTTCACCAAATACAACTGAAAGTAAGAACAGTATGAGAGGCTAACATCACTCCAACCATCTTACTTTTAAACTACCATGTTTCAAAGACTTTTATATGAGACACTAACAATAGTAACTCCTAACATTTTATTTCACTTCAAGATTTATCTAGATCTAAGTATTTCTCATGCACAACCTGACTATAATATATGAAGAACCAAAGTTAACGAGGAATCAGAACACCAAAGCAGCTGTCTCAAAACAGAATTCATGAAACTGATCCTGTTAGGCTTTCATTAGCTATCTATTTTTTTAAAATATTCTACAACAACACGGTGTCTAAAACTATATTAGTAGAATTTCAAAAAGCAATTACATTCAGTCTCTAAAGAGTCATTGAAATTAAGCCTTCTGCATCAACTGGTAACCATTTGCATTCTTCACCCACAGATTTCAATACATATAGTGTTTTGAAAACCATCAAATTGAAGTTTTTCTTCAAAATATCAATCCAACATGAAATGTCAAGCCAAACATACTCGCCAGACCCCTGAAGATTGACTTCAAAGGAACTCCTCTACAGAAATGATGACAATTTAATAACTAGGATAGTTCTCAGTATTTAACACTACTATTCTTGTAGTCAATAAAGTTTTATCACTAAAAGTATTTGCCTTTAAAAATTAGCTTCATATCAACTAATCTGTTTGGAGTTTTTTCTTTGAATTTATGGGATGGTTATGTCTATTTTTTCTTGAAATAGTTTTGTTATCTGTTTCACAGAAACAAGTATTGCCCATTTCAATTTTTTTAAGCATGTAAGATGTGCAGCAATATCACCAATAGCTGCTTGCATGAACCAGGGTCAGTTCTGATTATTCCCCAATTCTTCAATATTTTCCATATTCTAAAGGACACAAAATAGTAAGTTAACCTTCTTGCCTTTCAAATACTACTCTTAAATAAATTTCTGATTGGAATCACTAAAAGGGATTAGCATACTTGTGCTAATGACATCAATGGCACCACTTAAAAAAAAATAACTTCTATAAAGATGTAAAATGAATGCACTCATGGAGTCTGTGATTGAACTATGTCCCTAGATCACGTCTCTAATTTTTAACAATAATTTGGGCAGGATTTTATGTACTTGAAATCTTTGTAAGTCCTTTCTGTTACCATATGGCTCCTTATTTTTGAGCCAGCTGGCATCTACAAAAAATATTTCCATTTAATGCTGGTATCCTCAAATTTGAATGGATTTACTCATTCAGTTCAGCCACTGAAATATATTTTCCTGGAGAGATTCTAATTCTCATCCACAGAAGTATGAGGATTTCCACTTAAACAACAATTGCTCAATTCCCATACAACTGAAAACATATGAAGGACGTGTTTTCTATTGTGAAAAGCCCTAATTAATTCAGTAAGTGCAGTGATTCTGAGAACTCACGTCTGGATTGGAGAACTCCAACACGGTCTTGCAAAGGGCTTTACAAAGACTAAGCCCTGCAAAGCTGAGGAGCAAGATTGGAACCTTAGAGTGACTGGTTCTCTAAAGGCTCAAGATTTTATATGAGTCTAGGTTCCTGATGGACTAACATTCGACTTGTTTTTACATGGCTAATTCTACAGAAATGGTAATAAAATCTGTTCCTGGCCCTAAATTTACCCTCAGTTATCTAAGTTTAATCTAATTGAGGTGCATATAAAACAGCTGAGATTGAGAGGGAATGTATACAGGCACAGTACTGGACACATAACATGGAATTTGTCCCAACAGATTAGACAATTAGTCACACTTTAGGTTGAGCAGTGATTCAAGCAGTGCCAAAAAGGGCTACTAACATGCTAAAAAGACAACCCAAAATTACACAGGATGATGCAGCCTTTGAAGCTGTGTTCATGGCATGAGGCATCTCTTTCAAATATCTGTCCATCATCATGGCTTTTTTAGGACAACAGAAGCAAAGAAGAATTAAATGTATAAGAATGTATAAGACTTCTTAAGAGTAAGAACTTAAATTGGAGTATATGTAAGTATGTATAAATGTATAAAAATTAAAAGTGGAGTCAATAGTTTTGTGCAATAATTTAGGATAAGCCCTTTAAATCTCAATATAATGAAGTAGCATCTTCCAAGTTATGAGTTATCCAGACCGCAAAAGCCTAGCAAATCTTACATTGCCTATGCACAATAATGAACAGAAATCAGTAAAGCTATAAATTAATTTTGGAGGGCAGGGAAGAAAGCAGAATGTACAGACCGAAGAATATATGGTCTCTAAAAAAATACCAGTTTTAGGGAACAGAAAGTTTAACAAATGCAAAAATAACGTCTACATTTTTAAAACGTCTATTAGTGGGATTCAAAACTGCATCTTAGACCATATACTCCACTAGTAATCTGCTAATGTTACATATTTTTAAAATTTGAGATCAAAGTGTAGAAAGAACTTATTAGAAAACTTTAAAGGCTATAAGAAATACATTAAACAGTGTACACAGGCAAAGCAAAACATAATTTATATAAAGCAAAATACAGTAACAAGCATAAGGTACCTGCAGTTGGATCTTTGGCTAAAGCATTGTCCAAGGCACTTGTTATGGATTGGAAGAGATTCATCTTCTGAGTTTGCCCTGTGTGAAAATAATCATTCCGCAATTTAATTCGGTTCAAAACACAAAGCACATTAGAAAACAGTGGTGCAAACGCATCTAAAAACTTGACCATCAAAAACAAAATCCCTGTTAGGAATACCCAAGATTCATTTGCTGAATAAAACTGTGGGACAGATGGGATTGAGCATTGTATACTCGGCCTTCCCAAGGACTGTAATTCTACTTCCACACCAACTTTTCCCATTTACAGACATCTATTATTATCAGAAATTTTCTAGTCCACTGGCCTGCTCTCTGCACTGCAGTTAGTAAGTGTTTGAAGCATCAAAGCCATACTTCAGAGAAAGAAACTTGGTGCTAAAGCTGTTTAATTCAAGCCAAGGCTACCAGAGTGTCCTTCTTCATCCCAGCACTGTAGGGAAAAACAAGGAGGCCTGAAAGCAAAGATGGACCAAAACAATAGCCTAGCCCTCACTACTGCAACCAATCCAGATTCTCGAAGCAAATAATTCTTAAAAGAAACAAAGGAAGAAACTGCTTGGCTGACATTTGGTTGCTTTTTAACTGGCAAAACCTCTTAAGTCATGACTAGAAGCCACTGTCCAGGAGAATGTAGTGTGTAAAATTAAATAAATAAAATTATTAGATGAAGATGTCACACAAACATAACAAGTGTTAGAATTCAGAAAGGAGAACTACATTATTTTTCCAGTACAAACATTTCCTCAACAAACATTCAGCTTCTCTCTCTTCTAAATCATTAATTAATGTTAGTATTTTTTGTTAAAGACTCATATCACACCACATCTGAGTAGCTGCATTCCTACAAATTTCTTTGCTTGGTAACTTCACTTGTTATACTTTACATGGCCCTTTAAGGAGAGGAAAATGTAAAAAAAAAAAACTTATGGGAACTGTTCAAGTTATACAAAAGCCCTAATGAACAAAATTTACAAATTCGAGAATAAAATTTGGGGAACAGCAGCTGTTTCTCTCTTTCCCTAGTCATTCACATTAATACTTAGGTTATCTTTTCCACAAGATCTCATCCTTCCACTATTTGATATAAATAAATGGCTATTAGTTAAGCTACTGACAGAAACTCATCATAATAGTTCTGACCTGCTTCTCTTGCTTATAGTACAGGGCTTTTTATCAGCCCCACAGAAGAAAAGGGGAACTAATTGTGCCTTTTAGATCACTAATATCAGGATCAGTACTGCCATAATTTTATTTCACTACCACTACTTTCTACAGAATTTCAAAGTGTATTTTAACTCACAGCGAATTAGTTTTCTACTAATTAATGGCAATAACTGGCATGCCACTCCAGAGCTTCTTCATATGATCTCAAGCAGGGACCTGCCCTACACAAGCTTTACCATGTGGCACCTTGGATGCCTGTACATCTTTATACCTAACAGAAATGTAGAGAAAACCGTTTCTGTTGGTCAGGATCAAGATGCAATACCAAGGTATCCAACCAAGTAACAAGTTTTCTAGAGGATAGTGAGGTTCATGTGATAGAAACAGCTGTACTGCAGCTGGCAGGCTTTGCAGGGATGAATCTCAGAAATAAGTCAAACGTCATGCACTGTTCATTTCCAAGTTATCTGTGTTTACTCTCAACCATGTGACCACGAGGATGACCTCGAACCTTTCAGCGGACAGCAGTCTTTATTCATCACAGGTTTATTCTCACACTCATGACCTAAGCATGCAATAAAAAAACCAGTAAGTTACTGGTCAGTAAGTTACTGCTTAGAAGCTTTCGGTACAGGGCAGGGGCTGAGGACGGCCTTGCAGGTCTGAGCACACGATGGGCCCCTCTACCGCAGCTCTGGCTCTGACAGCCCAAAACACTTCACCACCCCACTGTCGAGGGGGCCTGCGCCACCCCCGGCCCCGCCAGCGGCCCACAGGGGCCTTCCCACCCACAGCCCAGGATTTTTGTGGAAAACCGGCGGCTGGAAGTGCCGAGGACACAGCGGGGTCACGCGGCCGTGCGAATGCCTCCACCGCCTGGGGCCCGACTCGCAGCGCCCCACCGGGCCCTCGGCGGGTTCTGCCTGCCTGCCTCCCTCCCATCCCGGACGGGGTTGCTGGCGGCCTCCCCCAAGAAGGCGGGGGCGACAGGACGGAATCGGCGGCAGAGCGAGGTTGAGGCCGGCCCGCGGGGTGGACCCGGGCCCAGCCGCGCTCTCACCGTACTCGCTGGGCGCCGGGTCCGGCTGGAAAGCGAAGTGCGCGGCGGCCCGGCGGGGCGCGCCCGGCAGCGGGGCCAGGCGGCCCCAGAGCCCGGCGGGGAGCGCCGCACGCAGCGCCCGCCCCGCCGCCG